CTGATTTTGAAACTTCCAATTTAGACCCTTTTATAACCTAAAAAAAAAAAAAACAGAAGGCAAAAGCCGTAACCATAGAATAATAATAAAGTAAGGAAAAGGTGATTTAATTATTGGCCTGGCTTCAATCAATAGGATATCTTAGTTGTAGAAAACTTTTGAAAAATACGAAAATCGAAGATAATATTTGTTCGATAATCCTTAAATTTGAGTTTTTTATGTTCTATTTTTTCCACCAATTGCAAGCATAAATGAGGAAAATGTATTAAACAGGTTGAATTCAAGCATGGAAGAAATACCTCGACCAGAACACCAGAAACCTGAAACTTCTAGTGACAAGAAAAATTCATCATTGCTGAACTCGAATACATACATGAAAATGGCCTTCACATTAGTAGTTCAGAAACGGTATGGAAGATATTCAGATTTCCAATACATGAGAGTCACACATCCTACATTTCCTTCAATCGCCAGTGAAAACTGTTTTACCTGGCTAATAATGTAAAATACTATTACAGGTTCACATATTTTACGTCACTAATTAATGTCAACATACGCTAAGGCTGGGCCCGCGCCCGCACTTGCGCCAACATTGGCACCAATTCGGTCCCGGCCTTAGCCGATGTTGACATTAATTTGCTAGTGACGTAAAATATGTGAACCCATCAATATTTTGACTAATGAACACCAGTAGCACCGATATTTCGTATACTCTCCATACAAAAAGTCGCAAAAAAGTTCATGTTTCAACGCTCATATGTCAAAGACCCTAATATTAAGATTTTGTCCCATTTAAAGGTTGTTAAGAATTGAATCCTCTACAACATATCAAAAAATGGGCAAAATCCATATAGAGCTCAAAAATACCATTCATTCCGATCATTCTTCCGATCCGACTTCGATCATACAATCAGGGTCTTTATTCTTGGAACAGGGGAGCACCGTTCCCAGGAGAACGAGTGTTCCGTCTTCGTCACTCATATTATCAGTCGCATATATTCAGGGCCGGTTCTATTGTCCAACAAATACCATTTTAAAGTCACGTGATTTTTCTCTATCCTTGTTGAATATATCTCAAACAGCGGTGATAGTAAAATTGACAAAAAAATTGCTGTCTAATTATTCTTCATAAATATTCTTACCTGAAATAGAATCCGTCACTGTCATCAATTAGTTTGTCAAAGTTATTTTCGAAAATAATACAATGAACAAACACAGCTAATAATTTTGACTATATTAACCTTTTTCCAACTCGAAAAGAATTAGCAAATAGAAAACGGGTACCCAGTTTAAGTTCAGAATGTATTACAACAGACAGCAGATACGACAAAAGTGAGTCTCGCAACAATTGTAAGTATTAAAATTGCCCTCTGATTGGTCAATACTACTTCATAAACGCGTTTGTAAAATGCTAGTGGGGACATATCCTAAAATTCAATAGTAATTAATCACCAGTAGCATTTTGTAGGTGATATGAACGACATAATCAATGGACATACGTTTTTTGCCACCAATATCACGTGACTTTCAAATGGTATTTGTCGGACTTTAGCTCCTCTGCAGGCATGAAAAGCCGCCCCTATTTAAAACAACTGCATTTTTTTTCAGTTGCCCAAAAACGTTAATATTAATTCTATAACTATAAAAAATATGAACCAAAACCTTAATACTCATATTATAAATATGTGAATATCTAATACAATTTAAAATAGTAGGACATTATATATCTAGGTAGAGAAGTTAGTTATTATATAGGTACCCAGCGCTTTCCTAAACCGGGGCACGAAGCGCCGAGGTTTATAAATGCGTCATGCTTATAATGACTTTCTCTACCGAGGAATATATAGAATTTTTTTTACTAATGTTAGTAAAAAATAAAAAATAGGTTTGAAATCTGTTCTCAAATTATTTTTTCTTGTCGAAAGTGCTGCCCTCTATTAACAGCTTATGGAAATTTCCTATGATGTACAGGGTCTTTCCTCATATATTGACACCCCCACTACAGGGGTTCTGTGAAGAGATATCAAAAAATTGTAAATACAAAAGTTTTGCGGTTTAATTTGAAATTTTTGTATCCGATTTCAAAAACTTTTTCGTTTTTTTAGAAATGTCAAATTTTGACAGATGGTTAGTTTTTTCTTATGGAACACCCTATATAGACTTCCCAGTTGGAGAGAGTCGAATTTTCTGATTTGAAATATATAGGTATAGTGTACCTACTTTTAATTAAGCCGTTTTGGAAATATCGGGGTTTAAACTTCAAGAAACACAACAGCTGTGTTCCAACCGACATAAGAACCGTTCTAGAATGGTAATTTCCGATGATGATGTGTTTAAATGCATTAATACTTGAAGTTTAGACCCCGATATTTCCAAAACGGTGATTTAAAGTAATTAAGCTATAAACAGGGTGTCCACTTAGTGCGATATCGGATGATATCTCCTTACAGGGTGATGCAAGAAAAAAAAATTAAATTACAAAGTTGTTTGATACTCTAATATGCATTAGCTGAAAATATTTTTAAATATACAGCGTGCTCCGTTTATGGAGTATGCGACAGAACTTTGTTATTTTTAATAGAACACCCTGTATGTGATTGCATATTTGGATTCTACGTAAAATTCTGAGCAGATTTTATGTAATATACCCTATACCTAAGTTCAAGTGTTTTGGAAATATTGGCAGTTGAAAATTGACTTTTTGTAACTTTCACAGGCTGTAAAACCTAAACGGTTAATTTTACATTCCTATCTTAGATTTTTATAAACTATCATTTGACACCAACTTTGAATTTAACCGGAGATTAAATTTAACTGGAATTTTTAATCATAGATTAAATTCAAAGTTGGTGTCAAATGAGTTTATAAAAATCTAAGACAGGAATGTAAAATCGGTTTTCGTCTAAAATTAACCGTTTAGGTTTTACAGCCTGTCAAAGTTACAAAAAGTCAATTTTCAACTATCAATATTTTCAAAACAGTTGAACTTAGGTATAGGGTATATCACATGAAATCTGCTCAGAATTTTACGTAAAATCCAAATATGCAATCACATATAGGGTGTTCTATTTAAAATAACAAAGTTCTATCGCATACTCCATAAACGGAGCACCCTGTATATTCAAAAATATTTTTAACTAATGCATATTAGAGTATCAAACAACTTTGTAATTTAATTGTTTTTTCTTGCATCACCCTGTAAGGAGATATTGTCCGATATCGCACTAAGTGGACACCCTGTATATTTCAAATCAGAAAATTCGACTCTTTCCATCTATTAACCTTGCGTTCGGTATTTCGATCTGAGTTCTCCGAGCTTGAATTTACCGTTCGTGTACACAAAAAGTGTACTCAGCTTGGTGTATGCTCATTCGCGTTCGTTTATTTAAATTTCTGACAATCTGATACAGCTTTCAACTGCTCTGTTCTCTCGCTGGTCACGTGATAACGGCTCCGCTCAGCACGCTCTGCTCTTTGAGCAAAATACCGAACGCAAGGTTTGTCGTAAATAGGGTGTTCCATAAGAAAAAACTGACCAACTGTCAAAATTTGACATTTATAAAAAAACAAAAAAGTTTTTGACATAGGATTCAAAAATTTCAGGTAAAACCCAAAAACTTATTCCAAAAATACTTTCTAGGACTAGTTTCTGTGAAATGCCCTAAGCAAGAAATTTCATTTTCCATAAAAAAAAAATATATATATATATTACGGTTTCTGAATGCGGCCTGCGGCCGCCCTTTTAGTTTGGCCGCCTTTGTACCTGCACAACCTGCACTCGCCTAAGAACGGCCCTGCATATATTTGAGAACGGCGGAACACTCGTTCTCCTGGGAACGCTGCTCCCTGTTCCAAGAATAAGGACCCTGATTGTATGATCGGAGTCGGATCGAAAGAATGCATGATAGATGCAGTGGCGTAGCCAGCCTTGCAGAGTAATGAATAAGGTAATAAGATAATTCTGCGGAACTCTCTATTGTTTGTTTGCTTTTGTAAAATTAACTTATCGGGGGAATGGGGGCCTTCAAAAACAATTTTTTTCTGAAATGAAAATAAATAACTTTCAGGCATCGGCAAATGCTAGTAACGATTTATGATAAAGAATGAAGGGTGAAGAGAGGTCAATTAAATAAATAAGAAACAGCGTAATTTTATAATTTCTTAATTTTTGCTTTTGTTTTTTAAGAGCGGTAGGGGCGCCATACACGCAGGAGCGGGGGGGCCGTCGCCGCCCCTGCCCCCCTACTGGGTACGCCACTGGATATATGTGTCCCGGCCTTTAGGTGTGCGTTATCCTTGAAATCTTTGAAAACCTGACATACATGCACAGATTAAAGGTCTGTTCCCACAGGAGTCTTTGACAGTTTGCAAACTGTCAGAAACAATCGCTCAGCTGATTTACAGATTAATCTTGGAACGACAACATTGAAAACATGCATGGGCGATGCTTACTGACAGTTTGCAAACTGTCAAAGACTCCTGTGGGAACAGACCCTTAGACAGGAATTGAAAGTACCAGCGACGTACCAGCCATGTGAACTGTAATAAAAAAAAAATCCAGTGTTCTTTCCCCCAAGAGGTACCCACAAGACACGGATTTTTCTAGCTGTCACGAAATCGTGCTGAAATGCGGGCGCTTAAAATAGACGTTTTCATTAAACAAAAAAAAAAAAAAAACTTATTAGTTTGAAAAATAGAAGTCAAAAACCTAGAAAGCAGCCATAGAAGAATACATTTACTAATGTTTTACTACAAGGCTAGAAGATTAGTAAGAAAAGGCGGCGCTGATGATTTGCATGGAATATAATACATTTTTTTTTTTCGTAAAACGAGACAATGAAAAAAAAAGCAATAAAGCGACAGACATAAAAATAAAAATAAACACATCTACGGCTACCCTCATAAACACAATTATAAACTTGAAAAAACACCGAGAGAGCTCTCGTATATTATGATACTTTTACAACAATATTAGGAACATGAAATACAGCTGTACTTACGCGGGCAAACATAAAGAACTTCTTCCTTCATGCGTCTTATCATATTCGTTATTCCGTGCATACTTGCTACTTTCGGTTTCAAATAATAAGACGAAACTCTATAAAAAACAATTCCGGATAAATAGTAACTTCTCAGGTCATGGTCTCCACCCATTTTAATTTTTTTTTTGGCGTCTTGCGAATTTCGAGAGAGTAGGTAAGAACTTCAACAAAACGTCAAACGTCAACCTCTGCTTGATATAATTTTAAGTGTAACCATAGAAATTTCTGATTGCGTTTGTTCTGTGTTGCGTTTGCTACCGTGACCGATTTCGGTTTTTGCTTCGAAAAGTTCATTCTCTGTAGATGTATGACTATGAGTAAAGAAGTTTGGTATATATTTGTTGAGAAATACTTCAACCAATGAATATTCGATTTATAGTGGACTCATAAAAAGTTTTCATAAATCCATCTCCACTAAAGCTCATTCGCAAATGTGGAGCATGTTCGAGAAATTGCCGCTGGGCATCTCTTTGTCCTAATTCATTGCCTGTGGTCTGACCAATGAACTATAACCAAAAACTGGAATGCTAACACATAAGGACGAACTTGAAGCCTAGTGCGGCTGCTGCGGAGGGGATACCTGTTTTTGTCGCACTCATTATGTTAAATGGCGAAAATTGCTTCCAACACGTATTCCAATTGATGAAACCTGTGAAGGGAAATATGACAAAACTTTCGAAAATGTCATATGTCAGCGAGCAACAGAAAAAAACAACATTCCTCCTTGTGGCATCTGTCTTTCATGGCTTCATTTTTTTGGCAGATATGGCAATGTGTGCGCATTCCAGTTTTTAGCTATAGTTCATTGAGTCTGACAAAGATGAAATTATCTACGGTTGATATTCAACGTGACATAGCGTGACAAGTCTTCGATTTTCAAGACGCCCTCATTTTTATTCAATCGGTGACGTCACCGATGAGTTAGCTATCTTTGTTTAGTGAATGGAAAATGACAATGACCGACATAGAATGGTGGATCCATCGGTAAGATTTGATGAGAATAAAAACGCAGGGCATCATGGCTATGAAACATTCAGAAGTTGTTTGAGTTCTGCATTGACAAATACGTTGCAGGTCACGCGGTCTTCCTCTGTGCATGTGCAACTCTTATGGCATAATTTGTTCCGCTAAAAGAGCTTGCGACTACAGACGGCAGAGGCGCTGTCGTCTAATGCTGTTGTCAGATTTATACATGAAAAGTACAGATTATTATTCATTTGTATTTAAAAGCTTCCAACAATGGAAAAAAAAGTCGTGCATACATATAATTGCCAGTATTACGATTTGGAATTACATTTCTTTTTCAAAACAAATATCCCATGCTTTTAATATGTGGAACCGTCGCTTCACTTTTACTTTTTCATATATCATAATACCTAAAGTCTGTTTTTTTTTTTTAAGATAATTCCCCAAGTCAAAAATTTCGTAACTATGTTGGCAACACAAGTCTTTTCTACATAAAAAATTTGAAAGCATTGACAATTTTACATTGTATTGCCAACATAATGTCAGTTTGACTTTTATCTTAAAAAAAAAAACACACTTTATATTTTGACAAATTTTGACAGTTTCCGTTTTCATTCAATAATTTGAATCAGAGATTGAATTTTTTTTCTGTTGAAAGCAAAATGGTTTTATCTTGTTGTGTGGCAATGTGTGAAAGCCGAGGAAACAGATTAAAAATGCATCGAATTCCCAAAAATGATGAGCAGGTAACTATGTTTCAATCCTTATATTATACCCACAAAACATCCCCCCTTAGAAATGTAAGTCTTATGAGAGACGTCAGTCTAGTCGTTTCAGCTTTTCCCTCCAATCACTAGAGGCGCTTCAATCAACCTATTAAAGTTTTCTTTTTCCTGCCGGACCGTGCGCCAAGATTTGAAGTTTATTTTGTCATTTCCAGTCGTCAAAATTTAAATTTTGAACTTCTCCCAACATTTAGAATTATCAATTACCTATCAATTATCAATATTTATTATCTCAAAATGTCTTCTCCCAGTTTGTTAATTGAAAAGCATCAGAAATGCTGTGTTCCGGGGTGCAGCGACAAATACAGCAGCTATTTCCGGTTTCCAAAAGATGCCGAAAAAATGAAACAATGGCTAATAAAAGTTCGCAATCCTTTACTAAATAGCCTCAGTGCCGAGAAGGCTTATAATAATTATAGAGTGTGAACAAGACATTTTCCTCGAGAATTTATTGTTGGCGATCCAAAAGCCAGACGAGGACTCACATGGAATGCTGCGCTTTTGCTGTATCTCCCTGAAGGTAAGTTAATACTAGATATATGTGAGAAAGACGTACTTACATTTTCACTTACTCCTCCCCATAGTTCTGATTAACGACAACGTGTTAGAATTCGGGTTTAAAGGAGCATAGGTCAGAAACATTAAAATTAATTTTAGCCCCAATTATCAAAAACAGTGAGGAGTCGTTAATTGATAAACCACAATCACCAAAATGGCAAAAAGTGGAGATCGACGCAGTTGAAACTCGTCGAAGAGTCCTAAGACGCCTTCAGAAATTAGTTTCGCAACTATGATTGACATAGGTAGGTAAACATAATAACTCTGTTCCAACACGTCAAAAAATCGTCCCATGAACGGTTTCGAAACCACTCAGTATAACAATTTTAGTTTCTGCGCAGAATCGTGACGGTACATTGTACGGTTTTCTGCTGTGTTGGAACAAAGCTAATATTATTCATTTTTTTTTTTTTTTAATGTGTATTCCTTTATCAGGAGACACAATAATTAAAATATTCCGGGTTACATACAGGTACAGCATATTCTACAATGTGTGTATCCTAACTTTTTTGGTAGAATCATTGGTAACGAAATTTCTGTTTTAGATCAACCAGGCCCTTCATGTCGTCAATTTTTATCTACTGAAACTTCTGCAATTGGGGCAGACATTGCTACACCAACTGGAACCATCACATCTGCAAACATGAAAAAGTCACCAACCAACTTTGTCTCTTAAAACTTTTATTGGTAGGTACCTAAGTGTTATTGCTTAATGAATAACCACCCAGTTGGGAGTAGGTGAATTTTGAAACATCCTAACTCAAGTAGGACTACTACTATAAAAGACTACTAATTACTAAAACTTGGAGTCGAATGCTAGAAAAATTAGAAGCATGTGCGAAAAGCTCTTCTCCAATCTTGATCTATTTTTTTTTTGCAGGTCATGAGAGACGATGCCAAATTTTAAAGAATATTAACGTCACTAGGCAAAAATTCCTATCCCCAAGGGAAAAATATCTTTATTCCAGAGTTATAGAATCCAGCAATAAGTTAAGAAGAATCAGTAGAAGGTTGTCGTCATTTAAATCCAAAGTTTCTCCTGCTGAATAACTTGCATCATAAACCAAATTTCAAAGGCTCGTAGACCACGTCAATCCATTGATATACAGCTTTATTTTAAGCCAAGTCCATACTCAAAACCAACAGCCTAAAGCTAGACGATTTACATTGGACGAGAAGTTGTTGGCGTTGTCTTTGCTTAAAGCTAGTGGTAAAGGGTATAGACTATTATCAAAAATATTTATTCTATCATCCAGGCGAAATCAGTTTCTTGAATGAGCTTTATATTATGTATAACTACATAAACTTTCTACCTAACACATGCGGAAAGTGTATTTTCTGGACTTAAAGGCTTGTCCGAACTCTGCTTTTTGTTGTCATTCGTGCAACTTCCATCACGTGCAGAAACACTTTCCTCACTTGTTAGGTTAACAACGATTTTGGATTGTGAGAAAAGGACCTCTTTTGTCATTTTATTTACGATTTAAGTTTTTCATCAAGCTATTATTAAATGTACGTCATTACTTATTGTAACTGTCCTTATTATCTTTAACTTAACTAGCATAACCTACCTATGTATGTATACTTACATGAAAAAAAAAACTGTTTCGCAATAATTGTAATTAATTCCATATTCTATTATATTTTCTGTTTCAAACTTTAATAAATATCTAAATTTGTCATCTTAATTCTTAGTCAATTTTACCTTGAAGGCGCTTCAACGCTACCGATTTTATGGGTTTCTTCTTTTTGGCACAATTATTTTATGCCAAAAAATGGTAGAAACTTTAAAGTGGTGGTGTTGAATCGCTAGAATCAAACAATGGTGCAAACGATCCACCGGAACGAATAAGATACCGAACGAACCCTAATTGCGTTTTGCATTCGCCAATAAATCCAGAATTACAAAAGCTGACCCCCCAGTCACTAGAGGCGCTGAAAACTTATAGACAGGTTCTCAACACGGCACTTACCTTTCTAAGGGGAGATGTTTTGTGATTATACCGAAATCAGGATTTTTACCTCCTGTTAAGCTACGTTTACATTCAATTCTAATTCAAATTGCAATTGGGATTATTTGACAGTTGAACGACTGGCCGTTTACGTTGAAATTTGTGCGGGAATAATTGTACTCTGATAGTTCTGGTACTTAACCAAAACAAAACATTGAACCTAACCTTCAAATTTGTAATTTCGAATTTTTTCTTGTCCAAGCAAGCAGCTTGATGCTTGCACAAATTTGAATTAGGCTCTCCAAACCACGTGATTCTTCAATATGGCGAGTGTGGAAAATTTGACGTTTCTGTGTTTATCTTGAGTTTATTTGGAATATTTTCAAGCTAACTACAGTTTACTTTGTTATAATATACTTTTTGAGATGCAGAGTGAATATCTAAAGACTTAAATGCAGGAAAATCGGAATGTGGGCGAACGGTTAGTTTGAAAAAATATGCAGTTGACATTTTGACCCACAGTTTTAACAAATTTCACATCAATGAGCAAATGGAGGCCTATGAAAGCTTAGATTATCACAAGTATTTTGAGTCTGGCTTACATTTAGATGCAGGAACAGTGGTAGTGAAAAATTTTCACGTTTTAATTGGAAATTTTTAAAACAGAGGGCAATGAAAAAAGCCTGACATCATCCTTGTTACCTTGTTGAAACTACTTCCACAATCGACTACAAGACACGTGTGTGGCATTTTTAATTGGAAGAAACACTAATGAAGTCAACAAAATAAAAAAATAAACAGAGTTCATTCACAGAACAACCACAAAATGCATTTTAAATTCCATACTCTCATATATAGGATAATGAACTTCCGCCCACTGA